TTGTCGGAGAAAAAAAGCGTAAAATTTTCAAAAGGTGCATGCCTGGGTTGAGGCGCAAGGTGCATTAGGAAAGGGCTACGCCTAGGACCTAGGTGAGGCGCATACCCTAAAATGTGCCTTGCTTGTGCGCCTAGGCATGCCTTTTAAATCACTGGAAACAACCTTTACAAAATCATTGCTAAGGTGCTCTCAAGGAGAATTAGGGTTGTGCTTCTCACCTCATTTCCCAAAATCAAGGTGCCTTTGTTAGCGATCAGCAAATAACGGATCAGATCTTAATAGCCAATGAGAGTGTGGAGGACTTGAAAAGAAGTAGGAGAAAAGGAATGTGTGTATGCTGGATCTAGAGAAGGCTTATGATTTGGTGGATTGGTCCTTCTTACCGGTCTTGGAAAATTTTGGGTTTGGGGTTAAATGGTGTAAGTGGATGCAAGGCTCTATAGATTCTAGCCGGCTGTGCCTCCTCACCTCATTTCCCAAAATCAAGGTGCTTTTGTTAGTAATCGGCAAATAATGGATCAGATCTTAATAGCCGATGAGAGTGTGGAGGACTCAAAAAGAAGTGGGAGAAAAGGAATTGTGTGTAAGCTAGATCTAGAGAAGGCTTATGACTTGGTGGATTGGTCCTTCCTACTACAAGTCTAGCCTTCTTGGAAAATTTTGGGTTTGGGGTTAAATGGTGTAAGTGGATTCAAGGCTGTATAGATTCTTGCCACTACTCTATTTTGGTGAATGGAGTAGTGATAGATCATTTCCCTGCAATTAGGGGCCTTATGCAAGGGGACCCCTTCTCCCCATTTCTGTTTACATTAATTGCTGAAGTTTTGGGCAGACTAACTAGGGCAGATTCTAGACACCTAGTGAGGGGATGGAGACTGGGCAGAGATAGGGTATCAATCACCCACCTACAGTTTGCCAATGATACCATTTTGTTTTGTGAAGGTGAGGAGCTTAGATGGGTTAGGAATTTGAAATTGGTGGTGCAACTCTTTGAAAAAATGTCAAACTTAAGAATGAATTTTGACAAAAGTTGTGTGGTGGGGATCAATATGGATGAGAGTGATTTGGCTGATAGGGCGGAAATTCTAGGATGTGTAACCTCTGAATGGCCTATAAATTATTTGGGTTTGCCTTTAGGAGATAATTCGAGAAATAATAGTTTTTGAAACCCTATGGCGGATAGGTTCACTAAGAGGCCATATAGTTGGAATTCTAGAAGGAATAATAGTTTTTGAAACCCTTTGATTAAGTCTACCTTGACCAACTTTCCAATTACTTCTTATCTGTATTTAGGATTTTGGGAGGAGTGAGCAAGGTGTTGGAAAAATTGTTGAAAGATTTCTTGTGGGAACTAGGGGAAGAAAAAAGAGACCATATAGTTGGGTGGGAGGTGGTCACCATAAGTAAGGAGGTGGGTGGATTAGGGATAGGAAGTATTCAAAGGAGAAACGAGGCTTTGCTTGGAAAATGGTTATGGAGGCTGCCAAGGGAGGACGATGTTGGTGGAAATGTCGGTCATCCAAATATAAGAAACATATCAGAAATATCATATGGAAATATTGTAAAAACTATAGATATGGTGGAAACATTGTAAAATATGCAAAATATAGAATGGTATTTTATGAAATGATAAGAAGCATAAGCACACCTTTTTAAATAATTATCATATTCCAAATCATTAAACAAATCTAAGAAACTAAGGTTATAGACAAAATAATGTGTTTTGAAGTTGCCCTGTAAACCTCAAGATTCAGAGATTCATGATAGAATGAGTTAAAGAAAAATTTAAACTCATAGAAAATGTAAATCGTTGTAATAGATCAACTAAATAATCTATTACACAAACAAAAACTAATACTTCATATTTGAAATGAATATTGAGTTGGCTCAAAGTGGTAATCATTATAAGTTAGGTGGGCAATAACTTGCTAATTCACATACCTACAATATTGTCACCAACTTATGTTATAATACTATCTCTTGTACTCCACATAGTATTGGTAGTGTTCATTGGGGTATATGTCAATTCCAGTAAAGTTCCATGTCATTTCCCATGGAAGTGAAAATGGAAATATGTTATAGAAACTATCTCTTATACTCCACATAGTGTTGGTAGTGTTCATTGGGGAAATGTCGACTCCGGTAAAATTTTGTGTCGCTACCCATGGAAGTGACTTAATTGACATCCGTTAACTGGTGCATCCTTTGTAAGGCAAATGGTGAGAGTTGCTATTCACTTACTATTATCTTGCTTTCTTGTTTCATATATTTGGGAATGGTTTTTCTCTTTATTTGGTTGTAGATGGACGCCCCCACTATATGTACAAAGCTTGTATGCCTCTTCCTTTTTCAGGTGGCCAAAGAAGAGGGGTAGAATTCTTTGGAGATGTGTCAGAGTTGCCATATGTTGGACAATGTGGGAGGAAAGAAATTCAAGGATTTTTAATGAAAAGGAGAGGAATAAGGAGGGCATTATTGAAATAGTTACTAACTTACTATTAGAGTGGTGCATTGGTGAAATCTCTAGATTTATTTGAGAATATCTCCACAGATATGATAAGAAGAAATTGGAAGGAAGTGGCTAACTCAGCACCTGCTAAAACCAAGATTAGTCCCAATTGGTCTCCCCCGGCCTTTGGCTTTACTAAGATGAACTTTGATGGGAGTAGTGAAGGTAATCCGGGGCCTTTTGGAATTGGAAGAACCTTCAGGGATGAAGATGGGAAGTCATTTCTCTATTCTCTGGCCCTATTGGTGTAGGCGATTCTCTTCGAGCTGTGATGGAAGGAATGAAGAAGGCACATGAGCTGGGCTGCCACGAGCTCATTATTGAAGGGGATTCAAAATTGGTTATAGAATGGTTGCGAGAAGACAAGAGGGCTCTTTGGAAGTTTGCCAATGAAAAAAGAATGTTCAACCGGCTAGAACAAGGAGTGGAGATTCAGTTTGAATGGGTAAAAAAGGTGTGCTAACTCTTTTTGCGGATACCCTTGCTAAGCAGGGGGTGGGAAGGGAACAACTGTTTCTGGCCATTTTGTAATTGAATTATATTTCTTATTGGGGAGGGTTAGGACAGTTTACCCCTCCCTAGTCCTTTGTACTTCTTTCTCTATTGAAAGTTTAATGAAAGATTATGTTATTGATAAAAAAATGAAGTTCATTTATGATAAAAAGCACCGTGAGGTCACTTATGCAGTAGGGGATTTTGTATACCTGAAGCTACAGTTGTCAAAAAAAAAAAAAACCTGAAGCTACCTTACAAGCAATCTTCACTTGCCCAAAGAGCCTGGCAGAAACCGTCACCCAGGTACTTTGGTCCTTTTCAGGTGATTGAGAGGGTTGGAGCAGTTGCCTACTGCCTGAACTTACCCCTAAATTCCCAGCTGCATCCTGTATTCCATGTAAGCTTGCTGAAGCCAAGTGTCTCTCTGGCTACCACAGTCAGTCCTTCACTTCTCCTGTTCACTGAAGATGGGAAACTAAAAGTTGAACCCCATCTAATAAAGGATTGGCGATGGATTAAAATTGGCTGCAAAATTGTGAAGCAATCCCTAGTTATTTGGTCCAACCTACCAGTAGATGATGCCACATTGGAAGACTTTGAGAAGCTTCAGCAGCAGTTCCCTCGTATAATCCTTGAGGACAATGTTTCTCTCATTGGGAGGGAGTTGATAAGGCTCAGCCCAATATGAGCAGCTCGGCGCAGATAGATACCAGGGAAAGTTCCAAAAGTAAACAGGTTAACAGCTGCACACAAGCTAACAGCAAAGGAGCTCCGAACCTGATAGCACCTCTGAAGTTTGTTTACACTAGAAGGCCACATCAGCCTTAATCTCTGATGGTTGTAACTGTCTAACAAACTGAAATGAGTGAGTATATAATACTACCTCTGCATTGTTTTTGATAGGAAACAATAACTTTCATTGATTGGAGGTAGATCTGAATTTTCCCCAACTTCCCTCTTCCTCTCTTCCCCTCTTCCCCTTCCCCAAGCAACCACTCAGGAGGTTGAGCTCCCTCAAAGCAGCTCAGTTCTATCATAATATGTGAGACTACTGGAGTCTCAATTGGTTGTAACTTGTAAGTAGCTCAAAAATCAATCAGAAAGTCCACCTGCTGTGGTCGTGTTTTGTTGACATTCTTACCTTTTTCATTGATTGATCTCCGCAAACTACTTTTGGAATTTCTACAAGTTTTGTATTGTTTGATCTCTGTAGTGTGTAGGACCAGTCTTCTTGCATCATGACACAAGATTAACAGTAGCATTGTTGTCTTTTGGAGATCTGTTTACTTGAAGGGGGTTTTCCTCCTAATTGCTACATCAAAGGTATTCTCTTCCTAACCTTCTGTCTTCATGTCAATCTGGTGCTTCAATAAGTCCACAACCTTCAGCTTAGGGAAATTCTCTGATACAAGATAGTAAGAATTCAAGAAGATCTGAAAAGGAATTGCATAGAGAGGGTCTTGCAGGGGGAAACCTCCTAATGAAGAGCATTAATGTTCTTTTTATAAAATTTGTTCTATTCTATAAACTACTTATTTGCCACTAATGATATGTACTCTTATTGTTACTTTCCTATGCAACTTATACTATGAAATAAATGAAGGTTTTTCTTGCTTAAATGACATTACTCCAACAACTAAAATGGCAACATGCATTATACATCTTAGTTCTTTAGCATCTTCTCAAAATCAGTACTCCAAAATTCAAATTATTTGATGGTGTTCAGGTGTTTAACTGACTAACCACCTGACCTATGAAAAAGCAAAATTTACTTGATTGGCTTGTATGGTGATGTTGTTTCAAGATCTGGTGAATATTCTTAGAACATCCAGCATCTTTTGTCCTTCAGGTTTCATTTTAGCTAGTTGGTTCATAGTTTCTATGGAATACTCATTTTTTGAAGCCTTTCCAGTGTCCTACTCCTACCTAGATAGAGTTTGTATATGTATTTAGTATTTACTTGCAAAACAACTAATCCATGTTTAAACTATCCCAGCACACTTATCGTGGATCAGATCATGATAGATCAAGGAATAGAGAGTGGGATCGCGATAGGGAAAGAGATCGAGATCGCCATCATAGAGATTACAAGGATAGAAGCGCGAGGGATGAAAGAGGAAGGGACAAATATGATGATTATGACCGTCAACGGAGCCGTGATTATGACAGGTAAAGTACAAACTTGGTTTTGATGATAGCACTGCTTTTAGTTTTATCACATTTTTAGCAATAATTAAATAGTTGGCTGTAAACTTCAAGATAGCTTTATCTTGATAACAATAGAAAAGAAAAAAAGGAAAAAAAACTTTTAGGAAGCTCTACTGCATCTTTTTTCAACTGCTTTTTGGAATAATCTAAGATGTTTATTCATTGATAAGCTAATAAGATGTTTCCTTCCCTTTCTTCCTCCTAACTGAATGGAGTAATAATTAAACCAAAGTAATGCAGTGCTTTTGTTTTTGTTTTGCAGGGGAATGCCACTTTTCATTTTTTTTGATAAGTAAAAAGATTGTATATTAATAGTCACAAGTAGTAAACAATACAAGCATCCTATGGAGAGGCATGAGATGCTACCTCTCACTTAGACATTAGAAAAACAGAAATCAATTACAACTGAGCCCAATACAAACTGTCCCTGTTTACCACTTCTTTAGCTAACCCATCTGCTATAGCATTATCTGTTCACTTTTCATTTATTTCCTTCTTTCTTTTTGGGTTAAAGCTTATGTGATTGTCTTTTTCCTGTACAGGCACCGAGATTATGATCGAGATAGAAGTAGGAGGCATAAACATAGGTCACCCTCTCGTTCAAGAGATAGATCTAGGAACAGATCTAGATCACGTTCTCGTTCTCGTTCTCGTTCAAAAAGGTAGAAAATTGCATGTTCTTGTTATTTATTTTTGGCTGGATAAATAAATGGAATTTCTTTGCTGATGATCCTTTTCTCTTAGACTGAAGAAAATCCGATAGATTGTCTTGTGGATAATCACCCTTGTAATATTCAAAAAGTTCTAAATGTTAATGGTATCACAAATTTGTCTTTGAATCTTTGAATCGGCTTCAAAAAATTAATGACGAGCTGTGGTTGTATCTTCCCTACAGCAAAAGGCAAAGTGGTTTTGACATGGCACCACCAGGTGCTGCAATGCTGCCCGGTGCTGCTGCTCCAGGTCTGTATATGGCTTTTCTGCCATTTTGTTTTTGCTAGGTTTGCCTATACTTGACTAACCAAATGTGTTTTTTTTTTTTAACGTCATAGAATAGTGGCAATTTATTTCCTAATGGCACTTCCTATTTTCAGCAATTGTTGCTATTAAATATGATTTATTTTTATTCTTTACGGTGCATTATTCTATTTTAATTAGTCATCTTACACTGAAACTGAGAGCCATTGTTGTGTTGTTTGGCTGTTGTTTGTGGTGCTTTGTTTGTCTTTTGTGTTTACCATTTGGGTAAGAAGGCAATGTTGGACTACATGTCCCACTGTGCTACCCATGGGCGTGATCACTGTAGATTTTATGTTCAACGAGGAACCAATGCACCGATTTGCTGGATCTTGTTCGCCTTCAACCGGCAACTTTTGCCATTTTGGTAGACTTACGAATATTTCCCGAACATCTGCAATGATGGAATTTCTTTCTTATTTTTTTATTGATTGGCATTTATTATATGAGATATCAATAAAGGTTGTTAAGCCAGAAGCTAAGGTTATATGCTTAGTTACTTCTAGCTGTGTTGTTGTTGCTCAACTCATGGTAGCAACACATTTCAATTTTGTGGTTATTTGATGTTATATTCCATATTTACTTCTTTGCTTTCTGTCAACTGCATAGGAGCACAATTGGGTGTTCCTCAGACAACGCCAGGAATGCTCCCCAACATGTTTCCTTTTGGGACCACTCAGGTAGCATATATATATATATTAATATTCTTATATAGCATTATCTTTATTTTTATAACTATTTTTTGTTATCTAATTGAGTTATTTTGGGATTCTAATGTTAACTGCAATGTCTGAATTAGCTTGGGACTATTCCACTTGTGCCCCCCCAAGCTATGACTCAGCAGGTATGTTCTCTATGTTTCCTTGTTTCCTCTTCAGCTTTTCCTCCAGATGCTTCTATCATTACCATTTTTCCCATCTTCCATTCTTGTAGGCCACAAGGCATGCACGCCGAGTATATGTTGGTGGTCTCCCTCCTATGGCAAATGAGCAGGTAATTTTTGATCTTCTTCTTGCTTTCATCTTTTCTGAGGTTGGATTTATGTAGTTGTTTTCATGGTATCAGTAGAAAAGAAACTTATATCTTCATCCCCCTTCCCATGTTCCTCTGGTGCTACTTCTTCACAAAGAGCTGTGGTCCTGAAGATGTTCTTCTGGTTGCCAATATTTTTGTCTTTTATATAATCATTCAATAAAGAAATATGCTGTCTCTGGAAACTATGTTGGACTTTTATTTACTGGTGCTCTTATTTCTTCCACCCAAATGGAAAACCATGCTTACTGCCTTTTCTTTCTAGAGCCTGTATCAATAGTAGCCCTTCCAAAAATGCCACTTCATGTCTTTTCCTTATATGTACTCTGTAAAGCTAAATGGAAAGCATCCTCCTGTAAATATTTATGTTTACAGGAAGATCTTTAAGACATATGAGGCTACAGTATTGACTTGTACAATACAAAGTCACTAAGAGTTCTTTGCAGTCATGTTCAGCATATTGGATGTCCATAGATTAATGTTTACAGCAACATAAAAAAAGTTTATGCAAACATATTGTCTCATCAACATCTTTGAAAATAGCATATTGAAATCAGTTTTCTAAAAGGCGTGGGAGGCGTTGTCCTGGAGGCGCGCCTCTAGGCGAGGCGCTCCCAAAACACCCTAAGGCGTATGCCAAAGGCGCTGACACCTCTGAGGCGTACGCCTCTTGTGCTTTTTTCATGAGGCGTGCTAGAGGCGTATGCCTCATCCGCCTCATGCACATTTGATATAAAAAGACAGAAAAAAAGAAAAAAGAAAAAATAACGGTAAGGAAAGGGAAGGGAAAGAAAAAGAGAGAAGAAAAAAAGAGAAAAGGAAAGAAAAGGAAAGGAAAGGGAAGGGAAGAAAAGATAAGGGGAAAGAAAGTGGTTTGCCCCCTGCCCCTTCGGCTGGGGGGCGAAACCCCCCACCCCCTTTTCGATGCAGCCCAATTTTCTTTCTTTTTTTTTTTTTGAGTTAGGGGGGTCTTGCTCCGCTTCGGCGATGTTATGCATCTTTATTCTTCTTAATATAAAAGATTTTTATTAAAAATAAAGAAAAAATGAGATCCCCCCTTCCTCTTCATCCTCCTCCTAACCCCCCTCCTCTTAAGGAGGCTTACGCCTCTTGCTTTCTGAACTACGCCTCACGCCTCGTGTCACGCCTCCGCATTTTAAAACATTGATTGAAATGTTGCCAATATAACAGAATCTCACTGTGTAGGTGCTATCTTGTACTTTTTTTTTGGTTTTATGAATAAAATACTTTACCTTACAATTTCAAAAAGAAAAAAAATGTTGCCAATATTTTTTTTGATGAGTAACTGAAAATTGATTAAATGAGATAAAGAAGAAAGAATGCTTTACATACAAAATGCCAATCATCCCTAAAGTTACAACTTACAATTGCTTACACCTTGAGATCCCTTAATTGTTCCCAAAAAGGTTGAGTTCTATTCATACACTGTCTCAACAAGGCATCAGCCACACAGTTAGCCGAATGATGTACCTATTGAATAGTAATAAATCTCACCCCTCCAAGTTCCCTTATTTCCCTCAAGATGCTTCAGTACTGCCAAGAGGTTTTGCTGATGTTTCTTAGCCTGCCCACAACCCTGAGTCTCCTACCACGATTAAATTCCTGAGATTCAGATATCTTTCTAGTCTCAAGCTTTGTGGTGCTATTCTCAATTCAGCCCTAGTAGAGATATTAAAGTCCTGGAGGATGAGAAACCTTCTATCCATTGCCAACCTCTGAAGAAGTTTTCCCTGGATAAAATATAAAAGACTTACATTTTCTTGACCCAATGAACCACCTTAATTGTAACATTTCTTTCTTCCCAACTTGACTAAAGTATTGCTGCCCTTGTGCATTTCTACATGGTCCTTCCTTTTGATCTTGGTGGAATGAAGAAAAGGCTTTCTAGACCAATACGAATCCATCTAAGGCTAAAGAGAGTAAAAAACCACCCCCAAATTCGAAAATTCCCACAACAAACAACAGGAGATTGACAAATGTCATGTAGCTTCACTTCTATTACATATGAGAAAACAGATATCTGGAGATAGAAACCAATTATGTCTTTTTCCTCTGAAGAGTTTCACATGTTTAATATTAACATTCTCCCAAGCTCCACAACTCTGCCTCCCTCTATGATCTGCTTATCTGGGTAGATGCCATATCGAGTTGGTGCTTTGTTTGAAGAATATCTAACCATAATAGAACTTCTATTAAAAAGGAAAAAAAATTCTAACTATAATACAATTTGCCTTGATTGCTATTTGCTCTTCAAGTAAAACCAATGCTCTATCATGAGATTTTTTTTTTTTTGA